GCCTGTCTCTCAGTGCTGCCTGGTTTGTTGGACTGCCTGTCTCTCAGTGCTGCCTGGTTTGTTGGACTGCCTGTCTCAGTGCTGCCTGGTTTGTTGGACTGACTGTCTCTCAGTGCTGTCTGGTTTGTTGGACAGCCTATCTCTCAATACTGACTGCTGCATTGGACTGCCTGTCTCTCAGTGCTGCCTGGTTTGTTGGACAGCCTGTCTCTCAGTGCTTCCTGGTTTGTTGGACAGTCCACCCTGACAGATGGATTTGAATGGTTAGCTGGTGGGCTGGACTGACTGGTGGACTAGGCTGGACTGAGCAAGACCTCCCTGAGCCAGATGAACTGTTCGGTATTCAAGACCAGAACGTCCCGCACAAATAAGCCCGTGCTGAATACAGAGATGTCCAAATTCTAAAACTCTACGCCTGCTGATGTCTTGCCTTCCAGCAATATATTCTAATTGATAAAAATGGGATCTTACATGTGTTTGATTACATGTGTACAATATATGATGTGTGAGGATTCACAATAAGGCAAAGGAACCCTCTGTTTTGGGCACGTTTATCATCTCATCCAAGGGCGTTCGGTTGTGCTCGAGTCATGACAATGTGTACCCTCCAGTACCTTCACAAATTCGCTCATCCACGGTGTTGTTCACATGGATCTTCCTACACTTACCTGCAACATTTTAGAGTCCAGCGTTTTCCGTTGGGTGGCCCTCTGTCCTTTGCGTGGAGCAGCAGCTTTTCAGTGACCCTGGGTGTCTTTAACCCCACTCCTGGAGAGCCCCAATCCAGTTGAGTTTTATAGATCACCCTAAATTACTGCAGGTTTTCTAGACCTCTTCCCCTGGAGGTGACACAGTGGCCATTCTGCACCAGCAGCCTCATCTGGGAGACACACAGTGACCATTCTGCACCAGCAGCCCCCCCTGGGAGACACACAGTGACCATTCTGCACCAGCAGCCCCACCTGGGAGACGCACGGTGTTCATTCTGCACCAGCAGCCCCCACCTGGGAGACGCACGGTGTTCATTCTGCACCAGCAGCCCCCACCTGGGAGACGCACAGTGTTCATTCTGCACCAGCAGCCCCCACCTGGGAGACGCACAGTGTTCATTCTGCACCACCAGTAGCCCTACTTGGCAGATCAAGGGCAGGAGTGAGAAACTGCTTCACAAATTCAATTAAGGGGGGGGAAGTTTTAGGGTGGCCATAATGTTAAAACCCTGAGTGGAGTTTAACACCCCTAATCGTACAGACAGCTATGGGATCCTTAAGGACCAGATACTTGAACCGAGGTCCCGATGTCTCATCCAAAGATCAGCGCCTCCTACAACACGATTTGAACATTCTGGACCAGAGGGAAGAGTGCCCCCTACTGGTCCACCAATATCACTTACAGCAGAACCATATTTTCTTTAGCGATCTCCCACCCAGTACTGATGAGGCGCAATTTTGTTTTTTGCTGCTGGTAGCAGATAGGATCAGGCTATAGGGTAGTAACTCCGCAGTCAAGGGAATGCTGCTCTTGAGGTCTGTAGTGCATTAACATTTTTTTGCTTTGTCCACTTAATTTATCGCAGACAGTCCATGGTTCTTATACCAATGCATTTCTGCTGGATTGAGACTCACCAGGCATAGGGTTGGAGATCTCTGAATCAGAGGTCTTCAGCTTCTGCTGAAATCGAACATTTTTAATTGGAAAAAAAAACCACGCTGTTAATAACTAAAAGCATCTCATTAAGAGCGTTGTCGTTATCCAAACATAATGGGTCATGTTGTTTTAGATGAAACTCACACAGTAATGTAGTCTTTTCCAGTCCTTTGCCCTAGGATTTATGATCTGTGCTGTTTTATAATTTAATCGTGACAGAGCTTTAAGTAATTCTGGGCTCTATTTGATCCTTTAGCTCGGAGGATGTCCAATCCTGGTTTTCATTCCAGCTCAACCCTTAACGAGCTCTGGGTTTAAAGAGCCCTGGATCACCTACTGACATACCTGCATTCCAAATGAAGGGATTTATTTCTTGGTAAACTGATGACAGACTTGAATGTGTTTTAGCAGGTGGCATGTTAAAAGGGTGACCTTTTAAAAACCTAGATTTGTGGGTATCCTGGTACAGTGTCTGCCAGAACTACCCAATCCTGGTTCCGGGGGCACACACACACACACACCTGCTCGTTTTCATTCCACTTGATCTTAATGACCTAATAGAAGCCTTCATTGAGTTTATAAGCCACTCGATTTGTTAACATCTGCTTGTGTGTTTGTTGATTCAAATGCGGGATTTGATTTGAACTAGGAAATGCAAGGTCTGAAATCTGAGAACAGTCACCCAGTTCAAATTCATCCTGTTATTAAGTCAATTGCTAGTTCAGTAACTGAAAACTTGGCTGGAACAAAAACTGCCCAGTGTGTGGGTCTCCAGGCGGCCCAGGGTTGGGAACCCCTGGTGTTTGTTATGGGAGAAATACAGAGCAATCACGTGACCCCATATTGTCTGTGAAACTATGACCAAAGGTTAGGTTATTTCCATTTTACTAGAGGTGAACATAGTGGTGCTTAATAGTTTTGTGTAGCGATGCTATGTGATATTACAAAAGCTTTGGTCCGAGTTGGTGAGCAGCATTATTCAGTGATCCTACTTTCAGGGAGAGCAGGTGAGCGGTGTCGTTCACTATTCCTGCTGTCAGTCAGAAGGGGGTGAGCAGTGTCGTTCACTATTCCTGCCGTCGGTCAGAGCGGGTGAGCAGTGTCGTTCACTATTTCTGCCGTCTGTCAGAGCGGGACAGCAGTGTCGTTCACTATTTCTGCCGTCTGTCAGAGCGGGACAGCAGTGTCGT